GTCGCTGTCAACGTTCCGTACGTCCGTGACTTCTTACAGTGCCCCTCCACGTCTCATCCGTGACTAGATCTTTGCCCGACCCTCAGCCCACTGCCCGGCTCGTCGTTCCTGCCGTTCGTCATTGCTTTCAGCTCGTCCGTGTCGCCTTGGTAGACGATCCCGCCGCTGTCCTTTCGTGTAAGTCCACGCCGCCCTTATCCCTCTCTCCCCGCTCAACCCTCCCCCATCTACCCCAGTTCCCCGCTTACCCTCCTTGCTCGCCCCTTTCGCTGCCCTTCCCCATTAATCTGCTCGCCCTTGGCCTGCTCGATGTCTTCCATTCGTCACCTGTCGTAAGTCTTCATCACGGCCATCATCGCTCGTTCGGCACTTACTCTCCCCAGCCCTCTCCTCACTCGCTCAGCGTTCCATTCTCCAGCCCTTTCCTCACACCCTTCGAAGTCCTCCTCCCTGCTCCGCATCACTCGACGGATGCGAGCTTAACCCAAAGTTTTCATATGGATCCGAGCAAAATGGGACGATATCCGCGATGCCCGACACTATGCCCCGCCACGCACCGCTTGTTACTACTACTGATAATACCATTCACAGCACAAGGTCGCAGTCTATCCATGGAGGCCTTGTATCGTGTTGTCATCGAGATACCGCTCAGGCTGTTGAGCTGAAGCACTCTTGAGTACAAAATTGGTATGTCTTGTTCTACGTTTGTTTTTCTCGTATCCATGCTAACTGGCTAGCACGCCTATTCCTATAAAAAAGGCCATCGTCTGTACGTTAATGGTCTCTCATCAACCCGAATGTATCGTTCCTCCACGAGCTTTTCCGATATCTCGGAATCGGACGCCTCGCACCTGGATGATGAACTCCGCTCTCTCGTTAGCGATCTAGACGCCGCCAGTCTCGGCGACACGTCTTCCGAACCTGGTTCTGTTGTTGAGGCTGTACGCAATCTCGTCCTCGATGACCCTCCGAGCCAAATCTCAGGCTGGGCTTCGGTCGTCTCACTCCAAGAATCCCGCGAAGATGCGACGTACTCGTTCCCAGATATATCGCCTCAAAATTTTGGGGGGATCTCCTCTTCCGACCCTTGTGCTGAACTTCTTCACCTGGATCACCAGCTCTTTCAACGGAGAAACAGTACGGATGCGATATTCCAGATACTACACAAAGAGTCTGTCCATGACAGCGCGTTATGCCGTATTGCGGTTGACGACAAGTGGGCGGTAGACATGTTGCAGTCCCACGTTCTTTGCTTGCCGTCAGACGATCCTACCACCGACCCTTTGCGTCTTTCGGTATCAGAGAACTTCAAGGAATACCTTAGTTCGCTTCGCAATCATCACTATATCCTCGAGTCGCGGTCCAAGGAGACAGCTTCCCCGAGCGTCACCGTTGAAACCAGTATGTCTTCTTTGTCGTTAAGCAAGAAATTGTCTAAATATTTCGTACAGAACGGTGGTATGCCGAGAAACTGCCTGGTATCAATCCTCTGGTTCTCATCTCAATGTTCTTAGTCCTCGTCTTAAACCTCTTCGGACACGCTACCCGTTCATGGTGCAACGTGACGCTTGCGCTACAGCGCTTTCTCCTCCGAACTGCCTTCACCAATCCGTTCGCAGGCCAGGCCCCTCGCGAACTAAGCTATCGTGAATCCCAAATCCTCCAGACGCTGCCCGCTGACCTCCGTACGGTTCATTCCCTCTTCGAACTCAAGCCTCGCATTCGCCAATATGCTTCATGCCCTTCCTGCTCCTTTCTTCACCCTCCTGATGATGACGAAGGTCTACGGTATCCCCCAACATGTCGTCAGATGCGCCGAGTTCGGCGCCAAACCCGTCAGTGTGGAGCACCTCTCCTTCGTAGCGTTGGGCGTGGCTCACGCTCCATAGCCGATCTGCCAATTCGTCCTTTCTGCGTCAACGACTTCAATCAGTTTGTCGGCAGTCTTCTGAGCAGGAAGGGTATAGAGGACGCGCTAGATCGAGGGACAGTGCTTAGCCTACAGGAAGAGCTGCGAGACATCAAAGATGGGACATGCCTTGGCGACCTTTTCGGGCCAGACGGCAAGCCTTTCTTGGACGGACTGAAGCGACCCGAGCTTCGTCTTGTGTGGAGTCTCTCTGTCGACTGGTTCAACCCACACATGAACAAGACCTCGGGCAAGAGTGTGTCCATTGGTGTCATTTCCCTCGTCTGTCTCAATCTCCCCCCCAGCCTACGGTACAAAGCTGAAAACATGTTCCTCGCGGGAATCATCCCTGGCCCGAGGGAGGCTACCGTAGAAGCGATCAATGACTTCATGGCACCGGTCGTCGACCAGCTGTTGCCTGCCTGGGAGCGCGGTACTTGGTATTCTGCGACCGAAGCACACCCGAATGGACGGCTGGCTCGGTCTGCGCTCGCGGTTTCAGTGAACGACTTGCACGCGAGCAGGAAAGTTGGTGGTTCTGCGGGCGTTGCGAGTAGTCACGCTTGCGCGTTTTGCTGGATTCGTAAAAGTGAACTAGGGGATTTTAATATCCCGGGCTGGACGCGACGGACACGCCTGGACCATATCTCCGCTGCGGAGGACTGGAGAGATGCCCGTACGAAGACGCGCCAAGCAACATTTTTTCAAGAAAATGGCGTTCGTTGGAGCGAGCTCTTACGGTTGCCGTACTGGGACCCTACGAAGTCGATGGTCGTAGATGGCATGCACAATCTGTTTTTAGGCGTAGTACACATTCATTTTCGCGACATCATGGGGATCCAGGAAAGGGAGGAGCCTAGTGCGGGCGACGTCGCTCCGGATGAGCCGATTGACATAAAGAAGATGCAGGATTGCAGAAAGCTACTTCAAAGTAATCCGACGTCCGCACAGTTGTCGAGGCATCGTATACGTGAATTGGCTGAGGTAGCAGATCAACGAGGGCTGGTCGTCGAAGGAGAAGGTGGTAAGAGGGTCAAAAAGAAGGTGCTCGTCGAAGCGTTGCTGGTGCGTAGTTGTGCAGCCTCCTCACGTCTTTCCTGACTCGTATTTCACTGCCAGAACAATATTGTCACGCCGGACTCTCACCCATCTCCCCAAACTGAGTATACGCCTCTCGACGATGTCTTAGGAGAAGAGTTGATCGACGAATACTCATCGCCTTCTGCGGACGAAGATGTAGCGCTGCGGTTGACCCACGCCGAGCTAGACGAGATTCGATCGGTTATACAGGACGTAGTGGCCCCACCTTGGCGTCGTGGCCCACCGAAGAACTTGGGGTGTCGCGGTCACGGCAAGCTCAAGGCTGATCAATGGAGATCGTGTCTTGAGTTCGAACTGCCCGTCGCCCTTATGTGGACTTGGGCTCATGGTGCCCCGGACGCCAGCACGGACAAGAAGCAGCTGCTGCTGCATGCGACGTTTCTCTTAGCTATCGCTGTACGTTACGCAACATCTCACCGAGTCACTACCGACCATGCAAGCAACTACACGGATCATATGCAAGCGTACCTACGTTTCGTCGCGCAAGCCCTCCCACATTACTCCTTCCGACCTAATCATCACGCTAGCCTTCACATCGGCGAGTTCTTGCTAAGATATGGGCCCATGCATGGCTGGTGGATGTTTCCCTTCGAACGTTTGATAGGTATCTTGCAACAGGTGAACACCAATCACAAAATAGGTACGCTTTTACTTCTCTCCAGACCTTGTTTCTCACCACGAGTGCAGGGATGCTCGAGAGAACGACGCTAGAGACATTCTGCACAGCGTCGAACGCGAAAGCGTTTCTGCAACAGCCATGCTGCCCTGCGCTTTTGCAGCAGTGTTCACCGGTTCTGGAGCACTGCTGGGGGCTCTATCAAGGTGGTACGCTCATGACTGACATACGCACTATCATGGGCGGCGAGTCCGTTGGGAGTCGCCAACACAACGTCACATCACGGCGTTCCATTGTACCTTCGACGTGGCTGAGGCAAGCATGGTCCGATGCTGACACTTATCTCAACTTTCCGCCAGACCTCAAGGAGCTTCCGAAACGTATCATGACTTATCCAAGGTACACCCTCCACGGATTCAGTTTCGCGTCTGCTACCCGTTCGCGCTCGAGTAGCCGGATATTTTTTACGGTCGGTTCAGGTCATCAAGTGCCCGCAGTGATCGAGGAGATCATATCTGTTGGCGACGATAAGCAGTCTGGCACCCGGCCTCAAGACATTTTCTTCATTGTACGACAGTTCGCGTCTCTTAACGAAGGCGAGGAGGACCCTTTTGCACTTTACGCTGCATTTGGTGCTTCCCTCTGGAAGGAGGACCTAGCTGAGTCGGCAACCGTCGTGCCTGCTTCCAATCCTCTCTGCCATGCCATCAGCAAGAGGTGGACAAGTGGTAGGGTTGTACTCAAACCGCTCTCGAAGGTACGTATGACCCAGGCACCCATGACCACGAACTTACATTTGACACTAGGACTTCTGATCTGACCTCACGGCCATGGGATTCGTATCGATGCGCTACTTGCAGGACTGCACTCCAATCTTTTCCTTTTCACAGTTTACGTGTACTTGTAGGAATATATGCTCTCGTACATTTGTCCCTTGCTCATTATATGTGTACGCCTATGACTGTGTTCCCCTTATATCCCCTTAAATGTGTACTTCTACGACGGCAACCCCATTCCATCTTGACTTGTGGCCCAATGATCGTATTTACAGTCAGCTCCGCCGCGCTCGACTGCCGCGGCTCCAGCAGTGCCGCAACCTCAGTGTAAATAGTGTAAATCATCGTTTAGTCCTTCTGCAATGTACCGTACTATTGTGTAAATGTATAAAGCCGTCCACACCATTGCAGTCGCTAGCAGCGCTTGTCCGAGACGCCTTTTACAACTAGGCGTCCTCCAATCCGTCTCCAGCGCGACTTAGCTCGAAAAAGGAGCAATTCACATCATCGAGCGTTCCATCTCGCATGGAGATAGAGATAGGAGCAGCACGGATGTGCAGCCACGGATGTGCAGCCACGGTTGGCGTGCTGAGTCTGTCCGCTCGAACGAGGATCAGCATGCCATTGTAACTACACGCTCTAGCTCCCTGGAAGTCTGTTCTGAAGCCGTCTACGATCGCGCCTTCTGCTTGGCGGCTGTCCTTGCAAATTGGATACAACATTATCCTCCAAACAGCCAAAGAAGCTGTCTAAAGTACACGCCGCTTGACGCTGCATACTCACGCGCAAACGGAACACGATGCAAGTTGAATGTATGCTATTGACAAGTATTAAGACAGATCGTATGTAAGATACAGCGTCCAGCGTCCACTATGAATCATCATCATGTACCGATCTGCGCAACTTCAGAGACTTCGTCGTACGTGAAAGCAGCATCCAGTCCCTGCAGCCAAATTTGCGCAGGAGATTTCTTGTTCTTCTTGACAAGACTGATGTATCCTGCATGCGGACCTGAGACCACCAATCCCTCTTTACCTTTGCTAGGGGGGAAAGGATAGAAATGCTCGACAGACGTGATATCCGAGTGAGTCCCGTGCGTGTCATTGTACGTGATGGCGACATGGCCCGGAGGAGCTTCCTGCACCTGCGCATTGCTGTAAAATCGATTGGGGCCATTCGTCCAAGCAGACATCTTGACCATTCTCCCGGACAGGTACGTCGCTTTGACCTTGAGGTGGATTCTCCTCGACCCAAGCGCACGACAGATGTTGTTGTCCAGAAGCCAATGCAGCGGCCCTGGTTCGGACTGCTGAGGCTGCTCCTCGCGTGACGACATCCCTTCGGGATCAGCACCTCCGAACACATTGTCGTCGAGCGGCTGGTCATATTGAGGGGTGGAAGCCCGCGGAGGCAGGTCCTCAGGATGCATCAAGCCAAAGTAGCTCCTCCGGAGCTGGTGGAACTCGTCCAGCCGGTTATTCGGGAGCGGTTTGCCAGTGAGATCCAGGCCAGTACGCCTAAGGAGCGTCAGATACGCAACGGAACAGAGAAAAGCGTAGCTAACGTACAGCGAAACGATGTCCTCGAATTTGAGTTCCACGACCTTTTGTCCGGCCGTAAGTACGCAGCGGGCAGTCCTCCGGTGCGTGTTCGTATCCTTCACGTAGCCCGAGTAACCCTTCACGCTTCCCTTGCGAACATACACGGGCTCATTGATATGGGGATCGGGGCCGGTATAGAACGGTGCGCGCATGGCCTTTCCTTTGGCTTGTTGTTCGAAGGAGCGACCCTTTGCAGCAACGTGCATCGGGTCAGACCCCGCCTGGGCAAGCATCCCAAGGTTGCTTACTACATCGTAGAGCTGTAGTTATAGTTATAGTCGCCTTTGAGTAATGTTCCTTCGAGATGACGGAATAGAAACGTACATGAACACCTCTGTTCACTGCCTGGAGGCGACCCATTCCGTGGCTGCTGGATTCCTCGGTACGCATTTCCGAGAAACATAGTCGACCACCGTGGACTCCAACGACACGGCTCCACCGACCAAGTTCAAGTGACGTGACGTAGTCACCTGCAGCGAAACGAGCTGCGCCGGACGGGGCCGCTGGCTGCTGGTCGCTCTCGGCGAACGATACAGGCACCGCAAACTAAAAGACGTCAATACTAACCGTTGGAACATGTTCGATATCTTACCTGGGCATGGGTGGTAAGCTCCGAAACCTCCAAGGTTTCGCCGGATTGGCGCAACACCGTCCCGCGAGAGCCCCTGTGCGATCCCGCACACACACACACGCTATCACCCGGCCACCACTCACGAGACACTTGAGAGGACGAAACAGAGACAGGCTGCGTTGCGGTGGCATCACCGAGTAGAACTTGCACCGTCCTGTCTATGCTAACCCCGAGTACCTGGCCGTAGACGGGGGTGCTCGTAGGGTTCAACTTGACCTGGACACGGTCACCGCGGGCGAAGTGTTCCACAGCAAAGTCGTGGTACTTGGAGTGTATCGCGCGACGAAGCGGCGTCACGTATTCGCCGGGCAAGTATTTGGCGAAGACGGCGCGTTCTTCCGTAGGCTCTGGAACCGGTGTAAGGGTCTTCGGATCAAAGGAGACGATGATGTGGCCTTGTACGGTGAGCTGAAAGTCATCTACCGAGTACGTTCTATCCGGATAGACCTTCACATTCTTTGGACCCATAAAGGACTTGGCCTTTTCGACGGGATACAGATGTCGCTGGCAGTCGGCGGATACCTTAAGTACATGCTTCTCGCCCTGTCGTATTTCCTGCAGCCGAGGGACGAGAAGAACTTTAGCGGGTAGACGGTCTACCAAGTCGAAGGCAAGTGCGGTATCATCCTTGAATGGACCACTTAGTGGCTTCACCCACTTAGGTGGTGTCGAGTTGAGAGTGCAGTCGGCGAACTGGCCGAGTTCGTTGGGGATGACATCCGAAGCCGGCGTGACATCATTGCGAAGGAAGCGCAGCTCGACGAGGCCCTCGGAGGTGAAGATATGTTGCCCAACGATGAATCTGCCAGCGGGTGACATCTTGACACCGCTCGTGCTGCCAAAAAGCCCTGGCACAGAAGCCAGGGGGAAAAGAGACGGGGAGGAGTCGCGTGGGCTAATGATACGAGGATGAGACGGAGTCGAAGTAGGTGATAGCTGGACTTTGGGTACGAATAACGCAGTGACACCGTTCTCAGATGTTTCATCTATAACGAAACCAACGTCTCCAACGTAACGACCACTTTTAGGTCGAACCCAGGTATGTAACGTTTGCTGGCTGTTGAGGGAAGGGCTCGCAAAATCTTCAATGTATTCGAGGACCCTGACGTGATTGCGATGGGGCAGTGGAAAGAGATTATATGCTTCGGCTTGAGAACTGGCTTCGACGTAAAGGTAGTTTGCCAGGCCATCGTAGGCGTCCACGCGAATAGAGTGGCCTTTGAGATAAGCATAGAGGAAGTTTCGAGATGGACCTAAAAAACCGTCAGTAATCACTATAATGAAGATATTGCCCCGCAACGGAGAAACATAAACTCACTCGACACCCAGACCTTGAACAAAGATCTCCACGTAGATCTGGATTTAGATTTGCCCTTGCTGTTATCGCCGCTCCCACTCGGACCCTCGACTTTGACCTCAACCTCGCCCTCGTCCTCTAGCTCGCCCTCGCCCTCGTCCTCTCCCCCGCCCTCGTGATCGCCCTCGCGACTACCACCGCCCGCAGGAGACTCGGAGAGGTACGTATTCCGAAGCGTATGATATCTTGTCTGGGCTTCGGCGTCGTCTTCCGAAGAGAAGCCATCGAATATTGGGCTCCATTCTTGATAGACATATCGAGGACCCAGGTACTGCTGGAGACGATCCTCAACGATAGGTAGTGACTCGCCATCCGCGAATTCTTTGACGATATCCCAAGCCTGCGGGTCGCTTAAGGCGGGGACTTGACGTGTTGTGCGCGTCTCAATGCCCGCGACTACGGACTCCCAACGGACGCAGGTCGATGGACCTGGGATTGTAGTCGTAGCGGGAGGGGTCAGGCGTTCAACCTCCATGTTCTCGTCATCGTCGTCATCGTCAATCTCCTCGTAGTCTTCTGGATTAATCAGCTATGTAGCAACTGGTATTGAATACTAGACTTACCCTCCGGATCCTCCTCAGCCGCTAAGTCCACGAACGCCGCCGCCGCACGAAAAGCGCGTTTGGAACGACGGGAAGCGTGCGCTGCTTGGCTGGAGCGTTTCATGTTGGGGGATTTTGGGGCAGTAATGTGCGTGGTGTTGCAATGCACGGGGTGCGGGCGGAGATGATGGGAGTAGAAAGAGAGTCAGCTTGAGGCGCGTATCCGGATTTTATAGTAAATTGCGAACGTGAAGGGTGTTGCCAAATACGCGCGGCTTCGGCTTCGCGAGGGTGAAGGGTTACATGAATAGTCACGAAGACTGGGTCAAGGGTCCGGACACTCGGGAGAAGTGGCCTACGACGATTGTCTGACAACACTACTGAGTCACTTCGTATTCGATCGCCTAGCTGGCCAGCTCATATGCGTATATGCCACAACACGATCGTCTCGTGTGAAGCGGGTTTTACAGCGTTGTTACATAGTACTCGTATCGTATATCGTGTATTGGACCGTTACAAAGAAGGCCGACAAGAACTCCAGCTCGTCGCCGAAGACTTCGCGGACGAGTGCAGGATCCGAGCGGATGCGTTGCAAGAACATGAAATACGCGCTAAGAGGTTTCTTGGGCGCGTTCGGGTCCTTGAAATTGCTTTTGCGAGACTTGCTGGCCTTGCGCTGAACGGTGCGATAGGCGTTCTCTCGCTTGATATCGTCTGGAGTGAGTGTCTTCATGTATTTGGCGTTCTGGCGCTCGCGCTCCTGCTTCAGTGCCGCAGACTTGCGTTTGTAAGGCTTTAGGGTATCAACAATTAGCCATGTTGATAGACAATTAGTACTGATAATAGGCTTACCTCTTTCTCTGCAGCGCTGAGCTCCGCGTACTCTTGACCGGCTTCCTTGGCTGCCTGAGCAACATTCAGCTTCCGCGTGCTAGTCTGCTGATGACGTTGGATCCAATCCGGCGGAAGGCGCAAGCCTTAGGAGGCGGCTTCAGGACAGACGTCTGGAGAGCTAGAGCGTAGTTATGAGTCAAGTGACAACGCGAATATGATCATGGGTTGCGTACAGATGATATCCACGTACTCTTGACCGGCTTCCTGGGCTGCCTGAGGGACATTCGGCCAAGCTGCTTCCCGGCGAAGATCAGGCGCTGCCGGTCAGGGGGTTTTCTGTGGTAACGTGGGTAGTCGGTAGGGTGCGCGAATGGATGTTGTAGTCCGAGAGCGCGCCGATCCGAACGTGAAAGCTGAGGCGGAGGTGACGGGGACGAGGACGGAACCAGGGAGGGCGTACTCATGGGGAAGCGAGAGGGAGGGGGCGGCGAGAGCAGCCGCATTTCCGAGTGAAGCGGAAGGAAGTACCGAATCTGCTGGGCCATGAGCAACGGCGGCCGAAAACAAATCGAAGAGAAAACATACCAGGTACCGAATGAAGTCCAACTAAACCCGGAACTATTGAGCGATGCTGAGGGGGGCGATGATCTTGATGATCTGGGTAAGGCTGCGATCGCGAGGAGAAAGATGCGTCAGTACGGATGGGATGAGTACGAGGCATATACTCACCCGAGAAGCCTGATGTGACGCGCTCGCGCTCATGCGAGGCGCGGGGGGGATCCAAACGAGAGCGGCGCTGAGATCGGCGAATGTCTTGAGATAGCGATGCAGAGCGGTTAGACTGCGAGACGGACGGGACCGTTGAAAGGAACGGAATGCGGCAGGGGTAGTGAGAGACCTAAGCAAGGTATGGAGACGATTAGCTAGGTAATGGGCTGAGGGGTGAGCATGATCTTACCTTGACGCGGGAGAGCGACCATCGACGATGGGGGGGACGACGCGAGGGAGGACCCCAGCGCGTTGGCGAGGGACGCGGCGGCGGCGCCAGGGGCGATGAGCTGGTTGAGGTGCGGGATGGTGGTGAGATGGTCGGAAAGAAGGGTCGTGGGAACCCACTCGGCAGTTTGATATAGTAAATCGCGAGTAGGGTACAGCCACTTACCAATTGGGTGAGTGGCTGTACCTCCACGCGAGGTGGGCACAGCCACCCACCACATTGGGTGGCGGCTGTACCTCATCGTGATTTACTATATCCTGGGGTAAGTGGGCTCTCATGCTCCTTTCTTTCTGACCATCTCGATACTCCAGGATCAGTATCGAGATGGTCAAGAAAGAAAGGAG